GTATAAAAATATATATATTCATCGCCTACAGGGTATATAAACATTCGCGCTTCACTTGTTGATTAACAACCTCGCAGCATTGGCAGACAGCAGCACTCACTCACACACACATACACACACGCACGCAGCTATGTCGAGCAGCAGAAAGAGAGCAATGCAATTGGCGCATTAACAGTTAACCGTATGCGTAGGCTGCTGGCTGACAAACCGGGCAGCGCAGACAGCAGCAACACGACCATGTACTTGACGACGACGACGACGACGACGACGAACCTCGCCAATCTCTGTTGCTGCTTACCAGATTCGCACACTTGTTTTAGTAGAGAAAGCAGCGCCGTAGCAGCGCAGCAGCAGCATATATGGTCACTCTGTCTGTGAGATACTCAATGAGATCGCTGGCGCTGGCAGCGGAGCTGGACAGCGGCACGGGCAGCAACAGCAGCAGAAGCAGCGGCAGCGGCAGCGGCAGCGGCACTTTGATTCCGTTGCTTGCCGCTTGTCGAAATCTTGAGGGTTTGAACTTTGACCAGCTGGCAGCACCGACCACACACATACGCGCACACACACACACACAGAGAGAGAAACATCAAAAAGTAGAAGTTGCGGCAAATAGATAAAAATCAGGTAGTTTGACTGACAGATCGATCGATGGTTAATTGACTTTTAAAGAGCAACTATCGTTGCCGGCAAGCCAAAAGGCTCTGCGCGGCAGATTGCCCAATTGATTATTGATCCGACATCAATAAATAATCGCCGGCGAAATTTGCTGCAGGTGTTTAAATTGCAAATTGCAGAGACTACTACATATATACATATACCATGTAAACATATAATTTTTGGTATATAAATCTACCATAAATATACTATATACGACACTAACGTTGGGCATTCCGAGCATTTCAATCATTTCTCACCCAGTCCACGAGGCTCTGAGCGCGGCTTGGCTCGCCGCTTGCCGCTTGCCACTCTAACGCTCTCTCGCTCTCTCATACACTCGCTTGCCCTGCTGCTTAGTCTCCAACGTTTTCATTCATACGTTAGCGCCATAGCTTCTAAACAGGTGCTACGGAACGCCGCATTGAGTCAATTATAGAACATACAAAAGGTACAAAGTAGTAGATAATTAACTATGTGTGTATGTATGTGTATCTCTCTCTCTCTCGCTCTCTCGCTCTCTATGTATATTTGTATACGGAAATTGTGCTCGACTATCGCGAAACTAATACAAATACTTCATTCGCATGTGTGATTCAAGACATCAGACGCAACTATAAATATTTTAATTCACCATGAGAATTCATAATATTTCTATATATGTATATACATATATATTTGCACATATATATTTGTCTTAGATAATAAAAATAATGATATAATAAAAACAACTTTGTTCATGCCTGTCGTACCGCAGTTTACTCAACTAACAATTACTGGCTCTGTTTATAGCTCTATAATACAACTAAAAAAAA